ACAAAAGGAAAAATGGTTTGTGGAGGGAGTTAACCCACACAGCAAACAAGAAATGCCTTGAATAGCATGCTTCTTCATGTGACTGAACTTTAAAACAATAGTCAAGCAATGCACATGCATCTGAACAAGTTAAATATTATAGGAAGTATTCCTACTTGTTTTATTCTACCTGAGATGGCAAAGGTTTTCCTTCCTTTGGGTGTTCATTCACCCAAAACCCTATTCATATCATATACAATTAAGGAACACATATATATTGAGATAATTCATATTCTGAAGTGTTAATGTACCAGTTTTAAACATCGACCCTTATTTTGAGAGAATAATTAGTCTCCTACTGATATAAATACAAAGTATTGATTTCTTGTTAATGGACTCTATTTTAGAGATCAATCCCCATTAATTCTACCTTTAAAACATATACTAGCCAAGTGCTGGAGGCTCATACCTGTAATTCTAGATACTCAGGAGGCTGAGAGCTGAGGATATCAGTGTTTGAATTCAGCCCAGGAAAGAAAGTCTAGGAAATGCTTATCTCCAATTAACCTCCAAAAGCAAAAAAGTGGAGCTATGGCTCAAGTAGCAGAGAGCTAGCCTTGAGCAAAAAAAAACCTCAGGGACAATGCCCAGGCCCGAAATACAGTACCCAAGAACCAGCATAAACACACACACACACACACACACACACACACACACACTCCCCAACTCATCAAATTTACTTTCTTCTCCACCTTTTCTGTACTCCTCACTCTCAGCAAGTCTCAGTTGGTCTCAGGAAATCACTTCTAACTGGCTTCTATTTCTCTACTCTCATCCTCTGCAATCCAGTCCTACAAAAGCGTCATTTCTCCAAACCTCTAATCAATGATGTCATCTCCCTGCTTAAAACCTCACCGTTGGTTTTCACTGAAGTAAGAACTTCCGACATCCCCAAATGTACAGGGCTTCATAACTCTTTGGTGCTGTTTCCTGCAGAAGGCTCTGTCTGACCTTATGACTGTCTATTCTCCCTGGCCAGCTCTCTACTTTTGGATCTCTGTACCTCTGGACCATCTGTTTTCCAAATAGATGCTTTTCCCTTTAATGACATGGCAAGTTCTACTCATCAAGTACAAGCTTTCCTAAAAGGTGGGGCACCACTGCCAACAACACCTCCCTATTTTCAATTCCTCATAACTTTTTAATGCATGAGTTTTCTTCCTTCATGGAAATATATTATTTTTTTTCTTGGCCACCTCCCCTACTTGACTGTTGACATCCTGAGAAAAGATCTTGTCTGTTTTGTTGACTACTCCATCCCTGGTACCCACACCAGTGTTTGGTAAATAGGAACTATCCAACAAAGTCATGGCAAATGAGTAAACCAATGAATCATTTCAAACAATCAGTGCTCTGTGTACTTTCTGATGAAGGCTGCTGTGCTCTTTGTTGAAAGAAAAAGGAAAGACTGGCTATAAGGTAAACTAAAAAGATGACTAAATTACTCTAACTTAAAATCAAGCTCTATCATTTACTAGCAAAAAACCATTTGCTTCTTTGGGGCTTTGTTCCCATGTTTTGAGAATGTGGGATAATAACATGGCTTATAGGCTCACCAAGATCAAACTAGGTAATAGATAAAGACAAAGCAAACAAAAACCATTTGAGCAAAGCAACCTTGGGTCACCCTTAGCTACTCAAGATCTGATGATTACAACTCAAAGCCAGCCCCTGCAGGAAAGTCTTTGAAATGCTCATCCCTAATTAACAAGTAGAAAACTGGAAGTGAAGCTGTGGCTCAAGTTATAGAGAGCTAGTCTTTTTTCCTCTTCTTTATTTTTTAATAATTAATTTGCCTTAAAAATAATTAATTTGCCTTATTGTTATTATAGAGGTGATGTACAAAGGGATTACAATTGCTTAAGTCAGGTAATGAGTACATTTTCTTTTATACAGTGTCTTCTTCCTCACTCTCTCCCAGTCCCTCCCTCTCATCTCTACCCAGGAGTTGTATAGTTCATTTTTATCAGTGTTCAGTGAGCTCCACTGCTGCACTTTTTCACCCTTTTTCCCTTGAGTTATGTATCCTCCTCCCCATTATGTTCCCAAAGATACAAAGATATAGTCTTGAAAGAAAGAAGAAAGGAAGGAAGGAAGGAAGGAAAGAAGGAAGGAAGGAAGGAAGGAAGGAAGGAAGAGAGGGAAGGAGGGAGGGAGGGAGGGAGGGAAGGAAACTTCTAAAATATTGTCATGGTTCTAATCTATCCCTTCAAAATTTCTGTATGAAAAACTTAGTACCCCAATTTATATGGAATTACTATTGGGAGGCTGGGCTTTGGGAAGAGCAAATAGAACTGGATTATATCATTAGGCAGACCCCAATGATGCACTAACCTGTATCTTAAGAAGAGTAAGAGAGCCCTGTGAAAGCTGGCATTCTCTTACTCAGCATGTGCTACTGGATACCTCTACCATGTCACAGTGCAGTAAGAATACCCCACCAGACCTAGAACTTTGATATTGTACTTTTCGGCCTTCAGATCCACAAGACAAAAATCTTCTGTTCTCTATAAAATACCAGATCATTTCTATTTGCATTTCCTTTATGGCCAGAGATGCTGATCATATCTTCATGTACTTATCAGCCATTTGTTCTTCTTTTGAGTATCATGTCTTCGTGTATTTATCAGCCATTTATTCTTTCTTTGGAGAATTTTCTTTTCACTTCATTTGCCCATATGTTAATTACACTGTTGAGCCTTTGGAGTTTAGTTTTGTGACCTACCTGTATATTCTGATTATTAATCCCTCCCTTGTCAGGTGTATAGCAGGCAAAGGTTTTCTTCTATTCTGTAGGCTGTCTTTTCAACTTACTATTTCTTTACTATGCAGAGATATTAAGTTTGATGCAATCCCATTTGTCAATCTGTGCTCTTGCTGAACTACTAGAGTTCTTTCCAGGAAGTCACTGCCTATGCCAAATGTTCTAGTATTTTTCCTATTCTTTCCCATAGTCATTTCAAAGTTTCAGTTCTTACATTTAGATCCCTGATTCACTATGAACGGATATTAGTACAGGTGAGTGATTGGAAACTTGTTTCAGTTTTCTGCGTTTGGCTAGACAGCTTCCCCAGCACCACTTGTGAGACTATCTTTTCTCCGAAGTACACTTTGGATTTTTTTCTGTCAGAAATCAGGTGATGGTAGCTGCATGGATTTATGTATTTTACTCTATTCCATTGGTCTTTGGGTCTGATTTTGTGCCAGTATCATATGGCTTTTGTTACCATGACCCTATAGTATTATTTGAAGTCCATATTTTAACTCATGATAGGCCTTCTACCATTTAAGCCATGCCCTTATTCATAGAAAAAGCTGAGTTGGAGATAAAAGTCTCTTAGATATTTCTGTCCTGGATGACTTTGAACATCAACCCTCAGATTTCAGCCTTCTATATAGGTAAGCCCCAGTATTTCTTATTTTGTTCAAGATTGCTTTGGCTATGGGATAATTTGTGCTGACACATGAATTTTTAAGGGCTGGGTTTTGTTTTTTGTTTTTGTTTTTCAATTTGAGAAGGTAACATTCAGATTTTTTTTTCGGTCCTGGGGCCTGCACTCTGGGCCTGGGCACTATCCCTCAGCATTTTAGCTCAAGGCTAGTACTCTACCACTTGAACCACAGTGCTACTTCCGGCTCTTTCTGCTTATGTGGTGCTGAGGAATCGAACCCAGAGCCTCATGCATACAAAGCAAGCACTCTACCACTGATCTACCTTCCCAGCCCAACACTGAGATTTTTATGAGAATTTTACTGAATCTGTAGATCACTTTCATTAGTTTATCCATTTTCAAAATATTGGTTCTGACAATTCATGAGCCTGGGGAGTGTCTTGGTCTTCTGGTGTACTTTTCAATTTATTTTTTCAAGGTTTTATGGTTTTCATTATAGAGGCCTTTCATTTCCTTGGATAAATTTACTCCTGAGTATTTTTAGGCTATTATGAATGGAATTGTTCTGCTAGTTTTCCTTCTCAGCCTGTTCAATGTTGGTATATAGAAAAGCTACTACATTTTATATCTTGATTTTATATCTTTCTATGCTGCTTGAGATGTTAACCAAACCTAGAAGTTTTGAGGTGAAATCTTTATGGTCCTTTCAAGTATAAGATCATATTATTTGCAAACAGGGATAACTTGACTTCTTCCTTTCCTATTTGGATCCCACTGATTTCCTTTTCTTCCCTTATGTTGAATGGCAGTGGAGAGACTAAACACCATTGTATTGTTTCTGAGGAAAGTATTTCAGTTATTTCTCATTTAGTAGGATGGTAATTATAAGTTTGCCACGCAGAATCTTTATTTTGTTGAGTTATATTACTGTTCTAGGTTTTTACATTCTGTTCCTAGGTTTTTTAGAGATTTTTAGCATAAAAGGATGTTGATATTGTTAAAAACCTTTTCTACATGAAATGAGATGATCCTATGTTCCTTGTCTTTGTATGGTTAAAAATAAGGTATATGTATACATTTGTGAAATATGGTAATATCTTTTTGAACTATTAGAAAATACTTAAGAAAAAAATGTAAAACATGTCCCGTCTTGGGTGTGGTTACTAGTGGGAGAAAAAAAGGTGAATGTGGTCAAAATGTTTTGTGGACATGAATGAAATGAAACATTTAAGTTTATTAGAATTGGTTTGGAAAGAATCAGGGGGTAAGAGGAAGAATGATGGAGAAAGTAAGATTGATCAAGATATTGTATGTATATACTGACAAGTCAGAATGAAACCCATTTACAACTAACTATACAAACAAACAATACAGAATAAAAAAATGTTCCAGATCTCAAGTATTTGATTACAGCAACAGAAAACTCGCTACAAGAGTTATATAAATTTTATAATTATTTTAACAAGTTGGTAAATGGCAAATATATGAAAAAAAATCAATATTCATTTCTAAATTGGGGTACCTAAGAATTTCAGTAATAATTGTATATAAAATTTATGGAATTTTTACCTTTTTATAACTGGATATTCTCTGGCATATGTGTTCAATTCTTCCACTGCACACAGCACTGAATTTACTCTGTAGGTCAGCTGGAATCACTTCATTGAGAGAATTAAGGCTGGTGCAGTTTTGTACAAAATGATCATCACTTTTAGCAAGGGCCTCAAGAATCTACACAAACAAGACAATAAGAGAAAAAAACTTCAAAAGCAGCCACTATCGGGTTACCATAGGGTAACTTTCTAGTATTTCTAGTCTCTTAGAAGTTCTCAGCACTGCCCTGTATTGTGAGACACTGTCTATAAGGTTGTCTGTTTGGAATCCCAGGCTTCACCTTTCGCTAACCAGAAAAGCCTGCTTGGGAGGCCAGCCTGACGTGAGAACACATTTCCTATGATTTAGTCAGTTGCTCAGAATGTTTTCCTCCCATCAGTTAGTGGTAGAATGAAAACTTCAGGAAAAGCAATTGGATCCTCATTGGCCACCAAGGACTTAGCATGGACAGTAGAATTAACAATTGGCTTGATGAAGGAATGATTAAATGAAAAAGTTATCTTAGTAAAGTATAACTTAATATTTGTGCCATATTTGAAAGATGATAAACCTTCGTGTGGCTGGGCATGGTGGCAGAAGCCTATCAGCAAAGCACTTAGGAGATATAGGCAGGATGAACAATATGTTAGGGCCGGTCTGGGCTACAAAGGGCATTCAAGGTCAGCATGGGCTATCACATGAGACCCTGTTTCAAAAATAAAATCATAAAGTGGCTGGGAATTTGGCTTAGTGGTAGAGTGTTTGCCTGGCATGCATGAAGCCCTGTGTTTGATTCCTCAGTACTGTATAAATAGAAAAAGCTGGAAGTGGTACTCTGGCTCAAGTGGTAAAGCACTTGCCTTGAGCACAGAGAGGCTCAGGAACAGAGCCCAGGCCCTTAGTTCAAGCCCCAGGACAGGCAAAAACATCATACACACAATGTTTTCAATTAGCAGATCTTTTAATATACTTGATCAATTGTAAGGGTGGGGTTGGGGGGTAGGGGTGTGCGCATGCACGCACTCACATACCTATACAGCTTGGATCACAGGTAATTTCAAATGAATTGAGAATTATGTGATATACTTATAGTTAACACTTATGATGGTTCAGAAAGCATCAGATCAATTATACCCTTAATCAATATGTTTATCATACTCTGTAAGGCATATAATATACCAATGATATATTTATTTCATTTTAACCTCACTCTTCCTGTGTAAAGTTGTATAAACATAATATATAAAATAGCTACAGCTATACATAAAATGAGATATAGTATTTTGCAAATTTGAAATTGCAGAAAATAATTATAATAATGTGGTTCCAGACTCTTACAAGTATCTCATTATTTGTTTAACATAGCTGAGGAGGGATTGCAGTTGGAAAACAAATCATATCTGCATCTATATCTATTTATCTACTTATTTCACTAGAAAATCATCAAAAAATGAAGTTTTAACTGACTTTCAAAATATAAAACAAAAATAAAATAATTACTTGAAAATAGCTCACTTACACCCATAGCATTGTACTTATAACCCGAATTATGGAATTGTAACCTCTTTTCACAACCTCAATAATCAATGACAAACCCTCAGAAAGAAAATGTAATTTTCAAATTGCTCATCAAAATACTTTCCTCTACTTATTTTTAATCCATATTCTAAGTGGCAACCAGCCCAACTAAAGATATTTGAAACAGAAGTTAAAATGAGCAAGGAAAAAGCAAGGAAGTTTCATCTCATTTTTCTCACTTGTGATGTCTGAATTCTCACAGGATGATATAAAAAGCAACAAGAAACAATAGAGCCCAGACATCTAACCGACACAGTGAAAGTCTAACTGACTTATCTCTTAGAGGGATATGACAAGGAAGCAAAGGCCCACTTCCTTTCCAACCACATGATTTTTTCCCTTGTGATATGAACTCCCCAAATATGTTGGCCTCCCATAAAGACTGGAGGATGACTTCATTCCTAAACAAGAACCATTCAAATGCCTGTGCATGCATTAATTAACAAAGCTCTAAGTTTCTTGAAACTGTTGACACTACTAAAATTAGACATTTCCTATAGTGTATTTCATGACTTCAAATATTGGTCAGAGGATATTGTACATTTGAATACAAATATTTAAAAACAAAACAAATATTTTAAAATAGTAAGTATTAAAACAAAACAAAATGCCACTCTCATGCAATATGCCTGAAAACCATTTATGATCCTGAGTTATAAGATACAAACTTAATAGATCCTGTAAAACAGAATTCTAGATACCCAGAGTGAGACCAAAAGAGGATAGTCTTAGGAGAGAATCACAAAGGTGCAATACCCAAGCCTCTTCATATGTATACCAAATAATATACATTCTGAATGAACTCCAAAGACATGGAAACAAAGGACTTTTGTTTTAATTTGATTTTTTTCTTTTTTGATGACTCTGTATCCTTTACCTTAAATACAGTATATTCATGTGAACATCTGTGGGAGGGTAGAGGGAAGGCACAGAATCAGAGGAAAATGGAGAAAATCTGCAGAACTGGAGCACACTGACTGCACTGGTCATTGATGAAAGTGAGCTATGCAACTCGTGGGTAGAGAAGGGAGGGAGGGAATGGCAGAGAATGAGGGAAGAGATAACACTACCCAAAAGGAAATGTACTTAATGACTGTTGTATTTAAAGCTAACCCCCCTGTGTATCACCTCTAAAACAATAAAATACATTTTAAAAATTAGATCCTGTAAAATCTTTGTCATATCAAAAATCTTTGCCCTGGCAAGAGTCCCATCTCCATCTCATATAATTAACATGGTGTGCCAAACAGTAATAAAAGGAAGACTGCACACATATAATGGGAAGAAGGGACACACACACACACACACACACCAAGTTAAGTGGGAGACACACACACACACACACACACACACACACACACACCAAGTTAAGTGGGAGACAGAGATCATTTGCTGTATTTTAGGAGCCTAAGTGTCACAGGCTGTTCTCACAGGCCGAAGCATACCTTGGCAGTTAAGCTGAAGAAACCTTTAGGCTCGATCATCTTCTCCACCACATTGCACTTTATCCCAGCAGTGCTGTCATACTCATACACAACCCCATACTCCAGGTGGACATTGTCCACTGTCAGGCTCACGTGCTCTTTCTTTCCATCAATGATGGCCATGGTATTGAACTTGTCGATTACCTCTGAAACCAGATCGTCATTCAGCAAGCTCATGAAGTGTTTAAACATCTCATCAAAAATTGTTTTATCCCAGCATAATTTGTAGAGCTCCTTAAAGGATAGCTAAACCAGATGTACTAAATGATGCAACTAGTCTGTTATCACTTTGAACCATATAAACATTTTTTTGAATAGCAAATGCTGTCATAATGAGCATATGAGATCCAAATCTTGTATTTTAATATAATTAGTCTTACCTGTATATCTACTTTGGCCTGTTATCCACATGTCTAAATATCTATAACAATGTAAACACTATAATAGGATTCTTTTTTCTTTTCTTTTTATTTCATTAAAAACATACATGAAGACAGGTGCCAGTGCCTCCTGCCAGTAATCCTAGCTACGTGGGAGATTGAGAATATAAGAGAATGTGAGGATCAAAGTTGGAGGCTAGCTGGGCACCTGTGGTTTACACTTGTAATCCTAGCTACTAAGGAGGCTGATATCTGAGGATTGTGGTTCAAAGTCAGCCTGGGTAGGAAAGTCCATGAGGCCTTATCTCCAATAAATCACTGAAAAACCAGAAGTGGTACTGTGGCTCAAGTGGTAGAGTGCTTGCCTTGAGCTGAATTGCTGAGGGACAGCACACAGGCCCAGAGTTCAAGTCTCATGAACAAAAGAAAAAATAAGTTGGAGCCGGGCACCGGTGGCTCACCGCTGTAATCCTAGCTACTCAGGAGACTGAGATCTGGGGACTGCGGTTCAAAGCCAGCCCAGGCAGAAAAGACCATGAGACTCCTATCTCCAATAAACCACTAGAAAACCGGAAGTGGCCCTGTAGGTCAAGTGGTAGAGCACTAGCCTTGAGCTAAAGAGCTGAGGGACAGCGCCCAGGCCCAGAGTTCAAGCCCTACAACAGACAAAAAAAGAAAGAAAAGAAAAGAAAAATAAGTTGGAAGCCAGCACAGGCAGGAAAGTTCAAGAGACCTTTCTCAGCAAATAGCTGGTGCCACAATTACAAACATATTATATGTGGGTGTGGGTGTGGGTATATATGCCTCTGTGTGTGTGTGTGTGTATGTGTGTGTGTGTGTGTGTGTGTATAGTATTTAATCCTGTGTGTTTACATATAAATTTACCTTTCAGGAATTACACACCCTCAAGACCAAGGCTTTTCTAAGTTTAATGAGCAAACAAAGCAAATTTTGTTAAAATGGGGATTGTAATCTGGCAGATTTAGGGTGAAAAGGAGGATTTGACTTTAATGATCCTAATTCTGCTGGTTTCTGAGCTATATGAAAACAGCAGTATCTAAAGCCCATTTAACTCCAAACAAGAAAACACAGCACAACCCGGATTCAAATGCTTATTCTTTATCTTTTGACTAACTTGAGCAAGGCCCTTAACTTACCTAGGCCTCAATTTCTTCTCCTTCCCAAAAGGATGGTGATCATCACAATTGCTTGATGACATTTCCTACTTTGAAAACTAAATGAAATAATTCCATGTAAAAAAAACTATCTTAAAAATACCTACTAATCAGATACGGCTTGCATGTTCACTACTAGTTCTTATTACTTATGTATTTGAAATGACATCTATTTGGAAACAATGACTTTAAAACATCATGGCCTGCAAACCTATGCATGATCTTCAATATCTGGAAGTTGCCTACAGTGTATTATAAACAAAGGAGAAGAGAAACCTACCTTCTACCTTATAGTCAAAAGCATCCCCTGCTTCATCCCCTGGGGTCCTGGCACTGGACTTCTGGAGGTCCTCTTGAGCACTCTCAATGCTGTTATAAACCCACTGTATGGAGTCTTGCTGCAAAAGAGGGGAAAAGAAAACCTCCGAGTCATCACTGTCCCCTGCAGTATGTATCCACTTCACAAACCTGCTTTAGAAGAAGAATGGGCCACTGTATTTATTTCTCCAGTTTGTTTTAAAATAGTAAAGTAAAAAGAGAAAGAAAATTAACAACAGACTAAAAGTCAATGACAATCCACCAAACTTTGTTTTTACATTCTGGCTTATTTTCCAAAGGTAAGTTTTATGTAAATTTATCTTCCAATGATCCATGACTTAATAGGATATATTTCTTAAATGTCTTATTTAAATGCCACAAATACACTTTCAAATAAGTTGTAAATTACACCTTAAATAAGCAAATGTTAATGGCTTTTTTTAACCTCTGATTTTACTTATACCGATCTTTTTCATTTTCCTTAGTGTAGTTAAAAATTTGTCAGTTTTGTTTATTTTTCTTTTTTATTTTTTTTAAATTTGTATATATTTTTATTGTGAAAATACCATACAGAGGGGTTACAATTACATGGGCAAGGTAATGACTACATTTCTTATCAAGCATCGTTGTCTCCTCCTTTGTTTCCCCTTCCCATCCCTTCCCATCTCCTACCCCCCTCACTCCACCCTCACCCCCGTGCCAAAGTTGTAAAGTTCGTTTTTTGACATAACGACTTGTACATCTCATTGTTGCAATGGGTCCACCTGTATTCCTATTTAAACAGTTTGTTTTTGCCCTTCCCCTCCACAAATTATTCCAACATCAAATACAGTGAGAGCAGGGATTATACCATGGGGGAGGGATATACAAAGCAACAAAGAAATCATCTTATAAATATGTTAGAAATAATCACATGAAAGAAAAAACATTTGAATACTTATCTTGAGGTTCATTTCACCTAACATCAACTTATCTGACCATTTCTGCTTGTCTCAGACATATACTAGTTATTGCAAATAAGGCAAAACCATGGGATCTATGTTTCTTTGGGCCTGGCTTACTTCACTTAATATAATTTTTTCCAAGCCTTTCCATTTCCTAACAAATGGGGCAATGTCATTCTTTCTGACAGAGGCATAGAATTCCATTGTGTATATATACCACATTTTCTTGATCCATTCATCTACTGAGGGGCATCTGGGTTGGTTCCATATCTTAGCTATGGTAAATAATGCTGCAATAAACATAGTGTGCTGGTTACTTTAGTATGGTCTTGTTTGTGATCATTTGGGTAAATGCCCAAAAGTGAGATTGCTGGGTCATAGGGGAGCTCTATGTGGACTCTTTTGAAGAACCTCCATACTACTTTCCAAAGTGGTTGAACAAGTTTACATTCCCACCAACAATGCAGTAAGGTTCCCTTCTGTCCACATCCCCTCCAGCATCTGTTGTTATTAGAGTTCTTGATTATAGCCATTCTAACTGGGGTGAGGTGGTATCTCAATGTTGCTTTGATTTGCATTTCTTTTATGGCTAGAGAGGTTGAGCGTTTCTTCTATTGGCCATGTCTATTCGCCATCCTTCTTTCCTCTTCAGAGAAGTTTCTCTTTAAGTCTTTAGCCCACTTATTTATTGGGCAGTTGTTTCTTTGAGGATTTGTTGTTGGGGATTTAATTTTTTGAGTTTCAGGTATATTTTAGATATGAGACCCCTGTCCATTGTATGGCTAGTGAAGATCTTCTCCCATTCCATGGGCTTTCTATTGATCTTGCTAGCTATGTCCTTTGCCCTGTAAAAGCTCTGCAGCTTCATGCAATCCCATTTGTCCAACCTTTCTTTGATTTGCTGTGTTTCTGGGTCTCTATTAAGAAAATTTCGGCCTGTGCCAAGGAGAAAAAATATAGAATGCTTCACGAATTTGCATGTCATCCTTGCTCAGGGGCCATGCTAATCTTCTCTGTATCCTTCCAATTTTAGTATATGTGCTGCCGAAGCAACCACGTTAATGGCTTTTTTAGTGAGCACATGATCTACAATTGTACAAACTTTTTTTAAGTGCTCTGTTAACACTAACGTATACTTTACTACATTTACTGATGCTTTGAACTGCACTAATAAGCAAATTAGAAGAACATCTTACATCTTACTAAGGAGCCAAGTCATGTAACTATCTTTCAATTCTTGGTGTCATAAATCATCCTAGATTTTAATTAAATGAGCAGTTTTGATTTTATTAGGAGAATCAAGGGAGATAAAATGACTACCAAATAAGTACTACAACTTCTATATTACTTTAAGGCTCATACTTTTTCTTAATAAGACGATAAATCAAATGGAACTTCATTGCTGAAGTATGATACAATACACAGTATTCATCTTTCTGTTTTATCAGCTTCACAATTGCATTTAATAATTATACTGTTATAAATCACTAACATGTCCATTTAGGAACTCAGGATGTAGTAAAACCCAAAATCTAGAATGTTTAGGGACCATTTTTATCAAGTTATCTGGGTTTAATCCCCAGAAACACAAACGCACAATGTTGGTTATTTGTCACCTGTAATAGCTGCCAACATACCTCACCCCCAGAAATCACCCCTTGTTTAACTGTGCCTTCTTACACTGACTCTGGACGTGGACCTGTGACTTGGTTTGTCCAAAGGGATACTACAAGTATCTAAGAGCCAAGTAGAAACCTTATTTCTGGTATCATCCTCTCCCGAAATCCAAATATCATTACAGAAAATAAAATCCTGAGCTGGCACTGGTGGCTCACGCCTGTAATCCTAACTACTCAGGAGGCTGAGATCTGAGGATCATGGCTCAAAGCCAGCCAAGGCAGGAAAGTTCATGAGAGTCTTATCTCCAATAAACCATCAGAAAACCGGAAGTGGCACTGTGTCTCAAGTGGTACAGCGCTCGCTTGAGCTGAAGAGCTGAGGGACAGCACCCAGGCCTAGAGTTCAAGGCCAGCAACCAACCAAAAAAAAAAGAAAGAAAGAAAGAAAAGAAAATAAATGACAGTAAAACCTGCTACAGACTGCAAAAAGAAGCCATAGCAACTCTGAAGGACAGCCTGCCACAGGGAGTGGGAGACCATGAAGAAGGATCCCAGCTACCAGGTCAAGTCCTAGAAAGGAAGCCACAGTAACAGCCTCACAAATGTAACCACCCAGTCAAATCCAGAGATTGAAGCCAACAATAGTGTCTTAAGCTACTTAACTTTGGGGAGGTCCATTCGGTGAGGACAGATACCTACGCAAGCATTTTACTTAGGGAATTTTTTTTATTGACTTAGGGAATTTTTCTACCCATTTTTTAGTCATTTCTCTGATCAACACTTCAAAAAAATGCAGGCACAGGAAGTGAAAAGGAATAAGACTCAAATCAATTTACATAGTTATTAAAATTCTGACAGAAGTGGGAAGGTTTTGATAAAATCAGAAAACTTGCAAAATGTGCCAGGAGTTGGTGTCTCGTGCCTGTAATCCTAGCTACTCAGGAGGTTGAAATCTGAGGATTATGGTTCAAAGCCAGCCCAGGCAGGAAAGACCCTGAGACTCATCTCTAATGAACAACCAGAAAACCGGAAATGGTGCTGTGGCTCAAGTGGTAGAGTGCTCGCCTTGAGCTGAAGAGCTGAGGAAGAGTGCCCAGATCCAGAGTTCAAGCCCCATGACCAACCCTCCCCCCAAAAAACAAAACAAAAAAAACTTGAAAAATGCATTTAGTCTTATAGATGAACAAATATTTATGGAGCTACGACCAACCAGGGTAAGCTATGGGTCCTTGTATAGATTCCAGTTTTTTGTGCTTGTTTTAACAGCTAACAAAATTCATCGGCTGTTTTCATGTAGGGCCAGTATTTTTGAAGGACATCAGCCCTGGCTGGTGAGCAGGCAGCCACTCCTCAGCCCAATTTGAACAGAAGGCAATCCTCTCAAATTCAGAAAGGAGTACTTCACCAAATCTAACAGGAAAAATACAAATCTCTCTTGAAGTCTTTCTATTTCTAGCTGATATCACTGATAAAATTTTCTCCTATAGGCCAATATTCACTTTCTCTTCATGAGATTAAGAAAAAAACTTTGCTCATAAAGTTACAATTTTATTTTTCTGAAGCACATATGGATCCAAGGACAGTGATGAAAAATTTAACTTAAATAACATTAAGAACATACTGTATTTTTTTAAAGCTAAATCCAGTTACCTCAATAAATGTATCCAAAAATTAGCCTCAGACTCTATAAACCCCACAAGTGTTACATTTTCAGAATAGATGAGTAACGAACAGTGCATTTATACTTCATGCATATGAACAGACATAGAATGGTCACTGCATCACAAAGCAATTGCAAGTAAACCGCCCAAACCTTTGATTAATTTGTTGAAAGTAAAGTCCCAGGCTGCCAATGTAGCTTAAAGAGAAGGCATTTGCCTAGCATGTACGAGGTGTGGGTTCAATCCCATAGTCATAGAAAGAAAATACTTTTTTTTGTCGGTTGTGGGGCTTGAACTCTGGGCCTGGGTGCTGTCCCTCAGCTTTTTAGCTCAAGGCTAGCACTATACCACTTGAGCCACAGTACCCACTTCTGGCTTTTCCTGTTTATGTGGTGCTGAGGAATCAACCCCAGGGCCTCATGCATGTGAGGCAAGCACTTTACCACTGAGCCACCTTCCCAGCCCTCCAGTGTACTTTTTAATATTATAATAATAAGGTGCAGTCATTTAAATAGTTAATTCTAATTAATATTGCAGATAAAAGTCATTGTGAGGCATGTACATGGTTTAAAGGGGTTTAAAATTTAATTTAGATCTGTAAACTGCAGACTCTCCAACATTAAACTACACTTTGCCCTGGGTCCTCTATGCAAGTTTTCAATCAGATCCAGATAAACTGAGTTTACCTTCATTGGTCGCCTGTATTTCCGGCAGGCTGTCACGTGGGCAATGACACTAGCATGTGTCTCTTTGCTGACATTGATCCCATTTACTTTGATAATACACTGTCCAGGGTGAAGGCCAGCTGCTGCAGCCACAGTTCCTTTAAGGCAAGGGAAAATTGGGACAAAAATGAAAGCAACAAGATTCAACTCTGTCATACAATGGAAGCAATTTTAACATATAATATCGTTCTAGCTCCTATGGTCTTGATAAATTTGGTTCTGATGGTATTACCTCCTAATAGTTTCTGATTTTTAATTCACATTCAAACTATGATTAACACTTTGGAAGGAATTAATTTAAGGAAGAATCACAGTAACCTTTATAATGCTAATCAACTTTTTTTCCTTTCAAATGTCTGGTGAAGTAAGTTTCTAAATATTTTTATATAGTAGAAATATGCTTTATTTCTTTGCTTACAAAATCCTTAAATATTGAAATAGTATTCACTTTTGTTTTTCTAAGGCCAACAATTTAATATTCCTGTAAAATGTAATTGTTAAGGGATAAAAAATCTAGTAATGATGATTAGACTGGGTATCCAAAGAAAAATAAAGCATTCAAGTCTTGAGAATTTGTAGAAAATGAAAACATGTAGACTATATCAACTTTCCAGTCACTTTGTTTGCATAGCTACAGATTTAAATACAGAAGCAGTATATTCTAATCAGTAATTTAAAATTTTTCTTGACCTTCCAATCATTGATATTGGGTAGTCTAAATCAGTCAACATTAATAGAGCACTATTAATAAATATAATATATAATTATATATTTTATAAATATTGTGTAAATTATATTGTAAGTCATATCAGTGGTTAAAAACTGAGCATATATATTGGAAAAGACTTACTTTGTAAGCAATTGCTAATACAAAGGAATTATTAAACAGCTTTAAGAAAGTTTATATTTAAGAACAGCTGAGCATGGTAGCTCATATCTGTAATCCTAGTTACTCAGGAAGCTGAGATTTGAGGATCATGGTTTGAAGCCAGCCCACTCAGGAAAGCCCATGAGACTCTTATCT